CCCCCCCCCCCCCCTCCCTCTTTTGGGCTTTTGGGACTGTCACCATCGTGGCACTGAAGGCGACTGGACCCAAACAGCCTTTTTTTTGATTCGCTTCTGTAATAAATAACGTATCGAGTACGGAAGTGCACCGTGAAATTGCGAATAAGTCGCGCGCGACGAGCGGCATGATTGCGCGGTAGTTGCCTGCGGTACCCGCTCGGCGGGGTTTACTCTGACTCGGCAACGCGCCTAGTATGAACAGCCTAAAGGGTGTGTATGACAGTGTTGGGACTTGATGACACAGAAGCCAGAACCCTCCAGAAATTCGTTAACTATCGAGACTCCTTGAATAGAATGCTATGTGGGTACTGTATGTTAAGTGAGGTACTGTATGTTGAGTGACTCTGGATTTGGTTAGCAACATGGGGAACCACATCCTTAAAACTAACTGCCCAGGCTCATAGATCAAGTAAGAAGACTTGCGATGCCGTTTAGACTGAAAAGACCGGTATTTTCGCAGATTGCCATCAACCTGCCTAGCTTGCTTATCATTTCATTGAAATATCTCAGCGGTCACCGGTTGGTGATTCAATTAACACGCATATTGTTGTGTTCCAGCTTTGACAATGGTGATGGATGGGATCGGCGGGTGTCGCGTTTGATGCCTACGGTGGCCGATTTCTCTATAACGGTCAAATAGTTCTCGCCGCTTATTTATCCCCTACAATCAGTAGTTGATCACCACCACCACTCCAAGGGTCTTTCGGCCTCTCAGAAGTTTTCGATTTCCATCCGAGCATACAACGAGCTAAGACATGCGCCTGATCATTTCTACGGCCATCTACAGTTCCCTACAGGCCATGGCAGCGGCAGTTATTTGTATGGTAGCTGACTCCAAGTTTGGGCATGGTTGCCAGTCATCCAGCTCGTTCTCGTACTATACACCTACTCAGCAGCGATATTCACCGTATACCTACTACAGGACACCGTATTCCTACCACAGGATACCATACTATCAACCAACGATGCGACAAGCTTACTACTACCGGCAACCGCCTCGATACTCGTGGCCGCAGCAATACCGTTCAGCCGCCCCTTATTACGGCTACTACTCTCAGTATATTCCCTATAACTACGCATATTCGCGATCGTCTACATACTACAGTTCCAATAATTACGGATATTCGCGATTCTTTCAGAACCATAGGTAGGCTATATCTGATAATTTATAGAAAAAGTGCTTAATTTAGCTCAGTGAGCTCCATACCAAACTTGGCTGAAAACTTTTACTTGTGTGACCTTTCTTCCGACCAGGTGTACCAGAAGGGCCAGAGCCACAAGGATAGGAAATCAGTAGAGATTTCAAAAAAGAAAAAGACAACATAAAACGAAAATAGGGCAGTCTTCGAACCCTTAGATTGTTACATACGGTCTGGTTTGGAGTATGGTTCTCCTGGCCCTGAGGCTCGCATAGAAGAGTCTCATTTCATTGCAGCAGCAATCTTTATTGACTTACTTTATTCACTTACACTTGTTTAGAGAGTTTTTGCATTCAACAAATTCTCACGGAACTTTAGAGTCCCCCTCCCATACTGACCGAAAGTGTGTGCGTGGCTCAATATTGAGAGGGTACGACTCCATTTTCCGCATCATCACTATCAATGGCTTTCCTGTAGCGCGTCCGGACTTCATGTTTTATTTCCCTGACCAATTAATCAGTCATCGCATCCTTAACTATCACTGAAAACGACATTTTATTCTTATCAACTTATTTTTACTTCACGTAAGATGTATCCACGAAAGAGCGAATAAAAGTACGCGTCGTTCTGAGTGCTAACTAACCTTGGACAATTTTTCTCTACAAGGCAATATAATTCACAAAACTATTTATATAAAATTTGTTTTTATCAGCTTGATAATAATTTTTTACCTATGGGGATGTTGGACTGCATGGGTTCAACTATGTGGGTGTTTTTGACCGGTCAACACAGATCATTCGGTCCGATAAGTGTTCGTTGAGATTTTCTCGGCTCTACATATCTTACCCATTGTCCGCAAAGACGCTGATGATTGATGATTTCAGTGCGGTTAACTAACATGCCATCAATTAATCAGAGATTATGCTAATAACGGAGATATGCATATCTTCTCGTTATGACGAATATGGACACGAAATTTGAGTAATGAGTACGCCACCAGCCGTAGAACGGAGCGTGGAATGTTGAAGGGTCGAGAATAAGACATGACCGCATTAATCAGTCACTTTGGAAAACACTACTGAATAGATTTTTATTCTTATCGTGGGGTAATGAAATTCAAAGCGATCGAAATCCGAACCAGTGTCTGTCTGTAAAGCAGAGGTGGTGTAGGGTAATGTGGTGCATTATCACGTGCATGGTCCCGGGATCGAATCACGGCACGGTACTCGCCTAGACCAACCAAGCATTCCATCTCTCCGGGTTTGATTAATCAGTACCAGACTCGTCTAGGTGTATAGTAGCACTGCCTTGCACATGGGCTGGCTACTGCAAGTCATTGTATGGGTCAAGGGAGGGGAAGAGGGACGGCGGGAACCAGAAAATACGCAGAACCTTTGTTCCTGTGGTCGTGGATGCATTCAGACCACTCAACGGTGATCAGTCATACTGTCGGAATTTGGTATTCTCACATATCGTAACCAATATTAACAATTTTTTCGTATTCAGAGGAACAACCCGTGACAGATGGGGAAATACCTATGCAGGCAGTCGTAACAATCATGTATGGATCACATGCCGGACTAGATATTGTGCTGGATGAGAATACTGGCATTCATCCAATCAACGTCATTAATAGCTATGCAAATTTTAATCGGGTTGCTTGATCCACATGAAACTATGAGGCTTCTGCACAGCTTCAGTGAAGTCGGCTTCTGATAGCAAATTCCAGGATTTTTTTTTGCTCTCGTTCCCTTTCAGCAAATGCATCGTACGTAATTTAGGCTGCTTTTGAAGTATAAGGCTCTCAGAGGTGTAATTGTTGATATTTGCAAAATTAAAAACTTTGTTATCGCAATTTGTACAAAGCGTTGTATTGCTCTAAAATCGGAGGAAAATTTGCATAGGAATCTCATAGGCTTGGAAGCACCGCTTTAAAACGAGCTGAAGGGAACATTTAAGATCTGGCTCTCAAACCGGGATACCTTGGCCTTTAGTGTTCCCTACAGTTGGTATTAATTCGATGCCCTCCCTTAGCTACACCAGTCTCAAACAACTTGTACATACAGCAATTACGGATCAGCCTGGGACTAATGATGCTTATGTCAATAAACAAATAAATAAATAAATGTTCAGCTACTAAATTTAACCTTACTGTTATCCCAGTGCTTTCTACTCAATTGTATACCCACCATTATTTCTCCTCTTTCAAGTGCTGTCATTTAAACGTATACATCATTTCTAAATAGGCTAATAACAATTTATTGACAAATAACATTTAGAAAACAGCGAAGTTCAAAAAAACAAAACTAGTGGTAAACTTCACAACAGAATCACGCTCTTCAACAACCAAAGCATCACACATCAACTTAACTAAGGTTATTAGTCAGAATCGATTGACCGTAATAAATGAAATTAGAAGGAAAGTAAAGGTTAATTGCAAGTACAAATGGAATGATAGACTACTTCAAGACGGGTTAATTATGTACAACAACGAGAAAAAAATATTATGGTCAAAAGCAAAACACTCGCATAAACAGGTGTAACCGTTACATAAACAGTCTTATCTATAACAAGTAAAAATTATTAACAAAGGTTTTCCATGATAAGATAGCTCTGTAGAAAACCTACATCCCAAGTTCCCACACTTCTCACTGGGAAGGAAACCCAGAGGTAAGGGGGAAGGGATGGGAGGGGAATGAAAGAGGTGGGGACACACCCTGCGAGAGCATGTGGCTGAAGCCTCAATTTGTATATGGTAGCACGAGGTACGCTAAATGACAAGGAAGTTCTTCAAAAAAATTCTTGAGGAAAAAGGCTTGTCGCCGGTCGTTCGGGATTCATGGACCGTTGTCGTTGTTGGTTCTTGCACATTCTTACTATTGCACAAAATCGCACAGGTGCCTTCAAACATCACGGTAATTGCCCAGCTCGTAACGTCTTCATCATGGAAACATTACAGCAGCAGTACTGTTTAAACAAGCATTAAAATTTGATACGCGAATCATTGATCCGCTAGGCAAGCACGAGATTGGAAATGAAAAATTCATTAATGATCGGAAATTCAACGGCAATCTCACCAGAAAAGGCCGTTAGACGACGAACCCAAAACATTCGATCATTGTCTTTTCGATTTCGAACTTTTCCTCAAGAGTCCATCTGCAATACCAAAAATGTTCAAAAGAAGGAAAAACACTACTCTACTCGAAAGCTTCGAAGGCAACGAGGAATACCAAAATCAGTCCACTCGCAGACTCGCGAATCGTCTCCACTTTCACGGAGCCGCGAGAATTTCTTACAGAGCCCTTCAAGAAAAGCATGAATGTATGACAAAAAACCTACGGCAATCGGATGATTGGAATATTGCGACCGAAATGCTGCGAACGTTGATGTCTCTCTGCTTTTGTTTGATGCACAAACATTTCAGAGCAGTAATTACAACGGAACCTTAAAATTGATTAAGTAGTGTAAAACTGGAAAGCCGTAACAAAGAATACATTTTCCGTTTCTAGATAGAGCTGCTATGAAAGTATTCACCTGTTGAATCGCATATGAACATTATTCACATGCTTTCTAATACGAACCAAATTCGCCTGAACTGACCATTTGCATCTCTAAAAAAATAAGTACATTAGAATAAAAGCGATCGGTGACCGTAGGAAAGTTGCCTGAAGAAATTCTCGAAAAATTCTCAAAAAAGAGACTGAAGAAAATACTCACACGACAATGAGCAGTACTACCAAGGTTTTGTTTCTTGATCAATTTGCTCGTCGAAGCCCACATCTCAGCTAAACGGTGAAAAGTAGTTCAACAGTAGATCAAGGTGGAAGTATTCAGAAACGGAAAAATAAACAGTTTGCAGTAAATTGCCAAAAAAAACTAAATTGTGACTCTCTCACCTTCAGTGGCGTCGCTGAAGTCTCGAGACTTGGACAATGATTTCAATGATTGCATAGTACTCGGCCTAGCGTCTGGTAATTCCTCAGATTTTCGACGTTCACGCCTCCCCATATTGCCATTTGTAAACCAAGAATCCTGGCAACATCAGAACATTTAGTATCTGCAGATAAGCCATGCTGCAATTGTTAGGCAAAGCTTATTGATAAAATATATGGAAGCCAAGAATTAAAAAAAAAACATGAAACATTAGGATCTTAAGTTCCAGCAAGTTCATA